TTCCACTCTCTAAAAATCAATGGAAAAAAATATCCTTGGGCGAGGATTAAAAAAACAACCCACAAGTCTCAATAAATTTAAGAATATTAAAATCATTATCAAGCATGTTCTCTGACCATAAGGGCATGAAACTAGAAATCAATCACACACACAAAAATGAAAACACACAAAGTCATGGAGGCTAAATAACATGCTACTAAACAATAAACGGGTTGCCAATGGGATCAAGGAAGAAATCAAAAGATACCTGAAAACAAATGAAAATGAATACACAACAATCCAAAATCTATGGGACACAGCAAAAGCAGTCCTAAGAGAGAAATTCACAGCATTACAGCCTACCTCAAGAAACAAACAAACAAAATCTCAAATAAACAAACTAACTTTACACTTAAAGGAAGTGGAGGGGGGAAAAAACAACAAAGTCCAAAGTGAGCAGAAGGTAGGAAGTAATAAAGATCAGAGCAGAAAGAGAGTCTAATAAAACAATACAAAAGATCAACAAAATCAAGAGCTGGTTCTTTTAAAAGGTAAAACTGACAAACCTTTGACAAACCAGACTCATCAAGAAAAAAGAGAGAGGACCCAAATATATAAAATAAAAAATGAAAGAGGAGAAGTAACAACTGAAACCAAGAAATACAAAGGACTGTAAGAAAATATTAGAACAACTATATGCCAACGAATTGGACAGTCTGGACAAAATGGATAAATCCCTAGAAACATATAATCTTCCAAAACTGAATCAGGAAGAGTCGGAAAATCTGAATGGATAGATTACAACTAGTAAAATTAAAGCAGTAATAAAAAAACTCCCAACAAACAAATATCCTGGACCGATGGCTTCACAGGTGAATATTACCAAACATTCAAAGAACTAACACCTATCCTTCTCATATTATTCCAAAAAATTCAAGAGGTGGGGAAGAATCCCAAGCTCATTTCATGAGGCTAGAATTATCCTAATTCCAAAACCAAATAAAGACACTACAAAGAAATAAAATTATAGGCCAATACCTCAGATGACCACAGATGCTAAAATCCTCAACAAAACATTAGCAAACCATATCCAGCAATACATTAAAAAAAGATCATACACCATGATCAAGTGGTGCAAAGTTGGTACAATATCTGCAAATCAATAAACATGACACATCACATAAACAAAATGAAGGATAAAAACCACATGATCAAATCAGTAGATGCAGAAAAAGCATTAGACATAATCCAGCACCTATTTGTAATAAAAACTCTCAGCAAAGTGGGAATAGAGGGAACACAACCTCAACATAATAAAGGCCATATATGACAAACCCACAGCCAACATCATACTCAATGGGCAAACAAGCATTTCCCTTAAGATCGGGAACAAGATAGGGACGTCTGCTTTCTCCACTCTTATTCAACATAGTACTGGAAGTCCTAGCCACAGCAATCAGACAAAAAAAGATATAAAAGGCATTTAAATTGGAAAGGAAGAAGTAAAACTGTCATTATTTTCAGATGATATGCTAGTGTATATAGAGAACCCTAAAGATTTCACCAGAAAAACTACTAGAACTGATAAAGAAATAAAGTAGCCAGACACAAAATAGATATCCAGAAATCAGTTGCCATTTTTATATACCAATAATGAACTATTAGAAAAGGAACCTAAGCCCTGGCTAGTGTGGCTCAGGTGGTTGGTTGGAGCATTATCTCATGCAAAGAAAAGGTCATGGGTTCAATTCCTGGTCATGGTCATGGCAAATACACCCAGGTTATGGGTTAGATCCCTGGTCGGGGTGTGTATGGGAGGGAACCAATCGATGTTTCTCACATCATTATTTCTCTCTCTCTCCCCCTTCACCTCTTTCTAGAATCAATAAGCATTCCCCTGGGTGAGGATTAAAAAATATATATATATACTTGACAAAGGGGGCAAGAACATACAATGGATTAAAGACAGTCTCTTCAATAAATGGTAATGGGAAAATTGGATAAGTACATGCAAAAAACTGAAATTAGAACACTTCTTTACACCATACACAAGAATAAACTCAAGATGGGTTAAAGACTTAAACATTAGACTTGAAACCATAAAATTCTACAGGAAAACATAGGCAGTAAGATCTTGACATTTCTCATAGCAACTTTTTTTCCGATATGTCTCCTGAGGCAAGGGAAACAAAAAAATTAAATGGGACTATATCAAACTAAAAAGATTTTGCACAGCAAAGAAAACCTTCAGAAAAATGAAAAGACAACCCATTGAATGGGAGAACATACTCACTGATATATCTGATAAGGGCTTAATATCTAAAATTTATAAGGAACTTATAACTCAACACCAAAAATACAAATCTAATCCAGAAATGGTCAAAGGACTTGAATAGACACTTCTCCAAAGAGGACATACACATGGTCAACAGAAATATGAAAAAATGCTCAATGTCACTAATCATCAAAGAGATGCAAATTAAAACCACAATGAGGTATCACTTCGCACCTGTCAGAATGGGTATCATCAATAAATCAGCAAACAAGTGTTGGCAAAGATGTGGAGAAAGGAGATTGCAGTTTGGTGCAATCATGATGGAAAACAGTATGGAGTTACCTCAAAAAATTAAAAATGGAACTGCCTTATGACCGAGAGATTCTACTTCTGGGAATATATCCAAGGAAACCTGAAACACTGATTTGAAGGAATATATGTACCCCTATGTTCACTGTAGCATTATTTACAATAGCCAAAATTTGAAAGCTGCCCAAATGCCTATCAGCCGATGAGTGGATAAAAAAGCTGTGGTACATTTACACAATGGAATACTGCTCAGCTGTAAAAAAGAAGGAACTTTTACCTTTTGTGATAGCATGGATGAAGCTGGAGAGTATTATGCTTAGTGAAATAAGACAGGCAGAGAAAAAAAGTAGCACATGATTTCACTTATATATGGAATCTAATGAACAAAATAAACTAACAAAGTGGAGACAGATTCATGGATACCAAGAACAGACTGACACCTGTGAGAGGGGAGGGGTTTGGGGGCTGGGTGAGAAGGGTGAAGGGATTAAGGAAAGAAAATAAATAAGAAAGACTCATGGACACAGACAACGGTATGATGATTGCCAGAGGGAAGGGGTATGGGGGGAGGTAGAAGAAGGGAAAGGAGGGATAAATGGTGATGGAAGGAGACTTGACTTGGAGTGGTAAATACACATACAATATACAGATAATGTATTATAAAACTGTATACCTAAAACCTGTATAATTTTATTAACAAATGATACCACAATAAATTCAATTAAAAACAATGATGAGTAAAAAAATTATTGAACAAAAATTTCAGAACTAAAGGGCATGAGTCTGTAGGTAGAGAATAGACTGACAGCTGTTAGAGGGCAGGGGCATTGTGGGGCTGGGTGAAAAGGGTGAAGGGATTAAGCAAAAACAAACTCAGACACAGACAGCAGTATGGCGATTCCCAGAGGGAAAGGAGGGATATGTGGGGGGAGGTAGAAGAGGTTAAAGGGGGGATAAACGGTGATGGAAGGAGACTTGACTTGGGGTGATGAACACACAATACAATATACAGATGATGTATTACAGAATTGTACATCTGAAACATATAATTTTATTAACCAATGTCACCCCAATAAATTCAATTAAAAAAATAAAGAAAGAACATGAGTGTCCAAACTGAAAGCAACAAATACAATAATTTACAATAGCCTTAAATGTCCCAGGTAAAAATGATTTCCAACAAGTGTTCATGATCAATGATGTGTGAGAATAAAACTATTTCAGAAATACAAAGTCTCAAAATATTTACATCTCATGCACCTTTTCTCAGGAAGCCACTTAAAGGTGAACTGCTCTAAAATGAGAGAGTAAACTAAGAGCAATGAGATGGAATCTGAGAAACAGGAGGCTCCAACACAAAATAGACATTAAGGGAATTAAGGGAATTCCCTGACTGCAGCCCTAGGGAGCAACTTGTCCAGACTAGAGCAGGATAATGGAGTGTTCTGTCTGATATGTTGTCAAAAGCATTAGCCCTGTAGAACACTGGGTTAATTTCATTTTACAGAGCTTATGAAAGATGTAGGAGTCAAAGAAAACTATGCAAATGAAAAAACAATGACGTAATTATGAACTTTATGAAATGAAATCATAGGATATTACTTGGCTCAGCAGTGAACACTATTTACCTGCTCCTCATATGAAAACAGTGAAGATTAATTTTGACAAAATATTAGGAATAGGAAAAGAAGATATTGTAAGAGCCAAAATCCTCAATCAGACCTGCCTATTAATTAAAAACACTGAGATAATAACCCAAAAATATAGCTAAAAGAGTTCAAAGTGATTGCCTCCGAGTAATAGAAATTTAAGGTCAAGAAAGGAAGGAGGGGAAGGAAGGAGGGGGAGGAAGAGGTCCAGGGATCTTGCTGTTCTTTGTTATAGGACTTTACCACTGGACTTTAAAAACCATATATGTGTCATGTAAAAATAAATTTAAAAAGAAAAAAAATTTAAAAGTTTTTAAAAAGTTTAAAAATCTGAAAAATGATAGGAATATTTAAAATCACATTAAGGATTGCAAAACTACCTTGTAGTATACAAAAACTACCAGTACTCAAAATAAGTGCATTCATGCAGCAGAGCCTAATGGAGCTAACAGTCAGTCTGCATGGTGACAAAAGATCCATCACAGTGGCATGTCCAATGCTACTCTCAAGTTTGTTTTTAGGCTGGGGCTTACCCCTGTGCAGCATACCTGGACAGCTTCTCTGAATAGGTCCACTCCCTCTCTGCCTCCTTTGAGAGAGTTATCTTCTCCAAACAGAAGCGAAGTATGAACACACTAGGGACCTCAAACCTATGACCCCAATGTCACCTTTAAAGAGTTTGTATAAGGAACCAGGCACTAATATAGGACTATTTCCTTCTAAATACTAAATAGTTTTATAAGCCATGAAAAAAGCTTAAAAGTACAAAAGCAAGGGGACTTGCTTACCTGTGGGGACATGGACAAGTCTGACAGCACTATCAGTTGTATTAACGTGCTGGCCTCCTGCTCCTTTGGCTCGAAATGTATCTATTCGCAAATCCTTGGAGTCCACTTTCACATCTACCTAGAAGAAAAAGCTAACATAAATAAATTTTACACTCAATGAATACTTTAATGCTAAATTTATTACAAAAGTTTTCAAATAAACTGTATTACTTTGTGTCCTAAATCATAGCCATTAAAATAAGAGGTGAAATAAACTCCCTATTTCAATGGATACTGTTTTTCAAGTGACTTAAGATGCTATGAGGTCACTAAGTTATGCAATCTTTCAAGTTTCATTATCCATCATCCCACAAAACTACATTAGATATAAAATATACAAAATATACGTAATCCTCATTCCCTGATTCTGTGTTTGCACATTCACCTACTCGCTAAAATTTGTTTCCAAAAATCAATTATTATAGCACTTTCAGTCATTAGAAGACATGCACAGAGCAGCAAAAAGTTCAAGTTGTGCACATCCCCAGCTACGGACAAACAAGGTGACACTATGCTTTCTTGTTTCAGTATGACCAGAGGATGAAGACAGGAAAGGGCCCATGGCTCCAGCTCTGAGGCTGGCTGAACAGGATTTGAATCCCAACTCGGGCACCTGTTAGTAAGGTGGCCTCAGGCAAGTCACTTAACACTTCTGAATCTCATTTTCTCTTTTAAAATTAAAAAAAAAAAGGAATCTACCAGGATGGGTCGTTTTTAGGATTTAAGGTTATAATCTATGTGAGATTATACATATTTCCCCTAGGAGAAATGGTTCAGTATTCGTTCAGTCAGCATTCATTGACACTTTATACAACATCACTATGAATGAGAATCGACTGTGTGAGTGCACGCACACTTATTACTGGGCTGAATGAAGGCGCCTAAAAAGATATGTTCATATTCTAACCATTGGAACCTTGTTTTGGAAAAGGCTCTTTGCAGATGTAACTGAGTTAAGATAAGACCACCCTGGAGTATTTGGATAGGCCCTAAATGCAATGACCTGTCGTTAGAAGAGACACCTAGAGGAGAGAGAACATGTGAATTCAGAGGCGGAGATTGGAGTTGTACAGCTTCAAGCCAAGGAACACCTGAAGACACTAGAAGCTAGAAGATGCAAGGGAGGATTCTCCCCTAAAAGCTTTGGAGAGAGCATGACCCTGCATGACCTTGACTTTGGAGATATACACACACACACACACGTATATATATATATATATCCATATCCATATCTATATCCATATATAGTAAAAATAGTTACTAAGTACGCTGTTTTTGAGGGGAGATCCAACATTCTGTTCCAAATTTATCCCTTATTTATCTGACAGACAACAAGTGTGACTTTTCTCTTTGAAAAGTACATTAATAAAGGGTCAAGGTTAGAATTTAATATACAGCTTAGTTGGTTCTTCTTTTGTTTCCTCTATAATGAGTACTATAGTGTACAAGAAAAAGATTATATAGCCTTTGTTAAAATATGCCATTATTGGCTACCTAAATAAACATTAAAGAGATGAAGAGTAATTTCCCATTTCTTGTGATTACAGTATATGAAATAGTTACATAGCAAATACGTAGATATTGTATGTGATAGTCTCCCAAATGTTACTGAAACTACCAAATGACTTTTGGGGAATTCCGAACATAGAAACAGTGACTTAATAATATACAAAAAAAGTTTAGTGTTGATTAAGAGAGTAAGTCCTTGTTCTTTTAGAAAAATGAAGCTCCACTAAATGAATTTAATTTTCAAGATATGAAGAAAACAAGCAAATAGCTGGGAATTGAGCGGAAGGAGTAAAGAGGGACCAAGATAACTCTATGGTTTTGATTTCTGACCCATATAAATACTTACATACACCAAAAATAAAATTAGATAAAAAAGAATAAAAAATCAAATCCTAAAATTAAATATAAACAGAAACAAATAAATCAAAGTACTTACCATAATAACAGTATAACCACACAGAAAAACATTATTTCAGACTGTCTTTGAACATAGTGTTCTGACTATGCTTTCTTGGTGGGTTATATTCTAAGGACAGAAATCTTAATTTACTAAGTAACTTTATTTAGTTTCAAAATATGATTTATCAATTTTTTTAGAGAAATGTAGAGGGAGAGAGAGAGAAAAAAAAAACATTGATGCAATAGAGAAACACTGATCGGTTGCCTCCCATATGCACCCTGACTAAGGATCGAACCCACAACCTGGGTATGTGCCCTGACTGGGAATTGAATCAGTGACCTTTCAGTGCATGGGATAACACTCAACCAACCTGAGCCACACTGGAGTCACTTCAAAAGAGTTACCCTATAAAGGCTACTACTGGCTAAATCTGGGACTATTTGAACATTAGAAACAATAATGATTATAACTCACTGAATTTAAAAAAACAAATCAATAAATCTATAATGAGGTCAATATATGAAACACAATATATAAATTGATAAAGGGGAACAAATTGATGTTTCTCTCCCTCCCTTCCTCTCTCTCTCTCAAATCAATTTTTTAAAAAATTTTAAAAAAGAGAAAAAGGAAACTCACCATGTTGCAAAGCCAAACTAAAGAACTGATCAGGAAAAGATGGATGTTAAAACCATGGAAGAAAAGTTGTTGGGAATAAGTTATGTGTACCCTACAGATTACTTAATAATTGCAAAAGGAAAAATACACTTTTATAATAGAGATATTTTTGTGGTTACTGTCTTAAACAAACATTCAAACTAATCTTCACTAAAAAGTATAACAATCGGATATTATGGGTCTTTTGATAAGATGCAATATGAACATAACTACACCTATAAAGTATTCTTGCTCAAAACATGTATCCTGAACAGAATGGGACATTTAGATATAACTTTCAATACAACGCAGGGATAAAGGAACAAGTTAAAGAGTACCATGAGGAAACAATCAGATGAATCCAGAATGTGGGACATTCTAAAAGACAAATGGTCTAGACTCTTGAAAGAGTCAATGTCATTTAAAAAAAAAAAAATGTTGGGAGACTTCCAGGCTTACAGAAATTAACAAATAATGCAATGTGTGAAACTTGACAGGATCCTGGTTAAAAAAAATAGATCCAAAAATACTTTTAAGATGACTTGGGGGGCCCTGGCTGGTGTTGCTCAGTGGTTAGAGTGTTGGTCCACATGCCAAAGGGTTGCAGGTTCGATTCCCAGTCAAGAGCACATACCTGAGTTTCAGGTTCACTCCCCACTCCCCAGCGTGAGGCAACCAGTCGATGTGTGTCTCTCTCACATCTCCCTCTCTCTCTCTCCCCCTACCCCTTCCACTATCTCTGAAAAGCAATGGAAAAAATATTCTCATGTAAGGATTAACAAAAAAATAAAAATTAAAAAATGAGGCCCTAGCTGGGTAGCTCAGTTTGTTAGAGCATTGTCCTGATATGCCAAGGTTGCAGGTTTGATCCCTGGTCAGGGCACATACAAGAATTAACGAATGAATGCATAAATAAATGGAATAGCTAATCGATGTGTGTGTCTCTCTCAATATAAATAAATAAATAGTTAAAAAAACAAGATGACGTGGCGAAACTATAATATGCACTAGACATTAGATAACTGTGATTAAAAAAATTTTTTTTTAAATGTTTTTATTGATTTAAGACAGAGGAAGGGGGAGAGAGAGAGAAACATCAATGATGAAAGAATCATTGATCGACTGCCTCCTACTCACCCTCTACTGGGGATTGAGCCTGCAGCCTGGGCATGTGCCCTGACCAGGAATCAAACCATGTCCTCCTGGTTTATAGATCGACGCTCAACCACTGAGCCACTTTACCTGGGCTGATTTTGTGATTTTTTAGTAAAAATATATATATATTTGATCTTTGTCTAGTTCCTGGCAAGAGCTCCTAAAACCCTTGGAATTTCCTAAGTGATAAGAGTAAGAATGATATGGGTATCTTTTGTTATTCATAACAAGCCCCTTTCAACCAAATCTGAGATTATGTTAATGAGGTAATTTCTAGAAAGCTCCTAGATCAGCAATTTTCAACCGGTGTGCCGAGGTAGGAACAACGGTGTGGCAAGAGAGGTACACCGGTGTTCTGAGAGAATTTTTAAAACATGCAAAACCTGACTACTTAGTCAGGGACACTGACCTCTTTTCCCTTATATGGTCAAATACAAAATAACAGTAGCCAACGCAACAATAGCTGTCCAGTGTGAATGAATCAAAATAATACCTGTTTTTTTGGTGTGCCAGAAACTTTAGTAGTTAATGTGTGCCATGAGATGAAAAAGGCTGAAAAGTGCTGCCCTAGATAACCACAGAATGGGGCCTGACTGCCAAGGGAACCAACCACGTGATTAGAGAGTTTAAACTTTCAGCTTTACCCAGCCCCTCCAAAAGGGGAGAGGAGCTAGAGGTTGAATGAATCCCCAATGGCCAATGATCTAATCAATCACGACTCCATAAAAATACCAAAAGTGTAAGGTTCAGAGAGCTTCCAGGTTGGTGAGCATGTCGAGGTGCCAGAAGAGTGGAAAGCCTGGAGAGGGTATGAAAGCTCTGCAGCTCTTTCCACATACTTTTCCCTATGCATCTCTTCCATTTGGCTATTTCTGAATTTTATCCTTTGTAATAAACTAGTAATCTAGTAAGTAAACTGAGTTCTGTGAGCCACACTAGCAAATTACCAAACCCAAGGAAGGGGTTGTGGGAACCTTCCAGTTGGTCAGAAGCAAGGCAACACCTGGGTTTCCTATTGGCTTCTGAAATGAGAAGGGAGGCAATCTTGTGAGTTGAACCCCTAGCCTGTGAGATCTGATGCTAATTCCAGGTAGACAGTGGCACACTTAATTAAATTGTAGGACACCCACACTTGGTGTCTGCAGAGAACTGGTGAATTGTTTGATGGGGAAAAATACCCAAATGTTTGGAGTACAGAAGTATTAGACAGAATACACAGAAGTTTTTCCTAGACAATAATATTAGAGAACCATTTTTGATTTTCATAGTAATGGTATTGAGTTTATGGTAAGAGAATGCCTTATTCTTTGGAGATTTAAGTTACAGATTTTTTTGGGGGGGGGAAGGTGAGTTAAAATCTCATAGTGTCGGCTATATCCTTTATAGTTCTTTTTTTAAAAAATATGTTTTTATTGATTTCAGAGAGAGGAAGGGAGAGAGAGAGAGAGATAGAAACATCAATGATGAGAGAGAGTTATTGATCAGCTACCTCCTGCACGCCCCCCCCGTACCGGGGATCAAGCCCGAAACCCGGGCATGTGTGCTGACCAGGAATTGAACGGTGATCTCCTGGTTCACAGGTTGATGCTCAACCACTATGCCACGCTGGACAGGCACCTTTAATAGTTCTTTGAATATGTATATATATACCCCCCCACACACATGTATGTGTGTGTGTGTGTGTGTGTGTAGCCCTGGCCCAGTTGGCTGGAGCTTCGTCTTGCACATCAAAAGGTTGCGGGTTTGATTCCCAGTCAGGGCACTTACCTAGGTTGCAGGTTCGGTCCCTGGTTGGGTGCATACAGGAAGGCAAATGACTGATGTTTCTCTTTCTCTCTCCCTTCCCCTCTCTCTAAAAGCAATAGGCATATTCTCTGGTGAGAATTAAAGGTGAAAAAAACTATATAGGGTATCCTCCCAAAATATATACACATTTTGAATAATTATTAACTCCAGTGTTTCTTTCTTTTCAGATTTAACCCAGGGTGGCCCAAAAAATGTATACACACTTTGAATGATTATGAAGTCAGTGTTTATTAACATATAGTTCATTTTCAAAATTAAGTGAGTTATCAGGTGTTAAAGTGTGTATACATTTTTTTGGGACACCCTACATATATATTCCTGTGGGTACACACACAAACAAAACAAATGCGGTAAAATGTAAACAACTGACTCCAGGGGAAGGTTNATATATATATAATATATATATATATATATATTATATATATATTCCTGTGGGTACACACACAAACAAAACAAATGCGGTAAAATGTAAACAACTGACTCCAGGGGAAGGTTATAAAAGGTGAAAGTAATAAAAGTTTTCAGTGTGGTATTCTTTCAACTTTGTGTATGTTTAATATAATTTTTTAAAAGGTTGGGAAAAATAAAAATAGGGGAATATGGATGTATTCAACTAAGGTATAGACTCCCATATAGATATATCACTGACCTCAAAATATTACCTGTACAATTCATTTTTTTCTTAAAACTTAGGCAACAACATTTAAAAAGTTTTGTGGATTCTGTTTTATGAAGAAAAGTGACTTCTACTTAGTACAAAACAAAACAAAACATCTTGGTCAGGGATAAGAGGGGTACCTTTACCTGGGGAAGAGTTAAAGATTTCCCAAAAGTGATTGTAAAGTTCAATAAGTAACCCTGAGAAATCACTGAATTTCCTAGAAGCTAAGACTTTTCAGCGTAACACCCATTTACAAAGAGTAAGTTTTCAATGTCTCCTGGTAAGGTTACCTCATCTGGTTGAGGGAGGACAATAACTGACATTGTTCCTGTATGAATACGCTGCATCCTTGATGACAGGCCCACCTCAGGGATTCGCTGGACTCGGTGAATCCCACCTTCATACTTCAAATGCTTATAGACACTCTCACCAGAAATTCGGGCAGCTGCATGATGTAGCCCACCTAGGAAAAAAATATCCAGAAATTATTAATGAATTCTAATTTGAAAGGGATCAAGATCTTAAATATCTTTAATTTAAGGCCTGCATGTGAGTATACTACCTGAGATGAGAACATAAAGTAGGTACAAAACTGTATTTTCCAAATGTAAATGTATTAATATATAAAAAGAAACATACCAAAATATTATGTATGGTTACCTCTGAGGAACAGAATAATAGCAAGCAGGCTTTTATTTTACCTTTTATATTTATTTTTTCTCTAAATTTTCTATATTAAACAAGTTCTACTTTTATAAAAATACTTTTAGAAAAAAAATACTAGGACTTTTCTGCTTGAACTAGCCTATGCCATCTTAGGCTAACATGGTGCCATATATAAAAGAATGCTCAATTACATAATTTGATAATGATGAATAACCCTATAGGTCCTTCCAAGTTTTCAAGGATCTATTGAAATGTAGCCCTTGCTTATTTGTTGAGTGGGAAGATTATCACAAAAGAATCTTAATGCCTAGACTAGCTTCTTAGTCCGCAGTTGGACCTAGTTCTACAGGTACCCAAATACATAATGCTCACCCTACTCTTTATTTGATAACATTTTAATTGTCTGGTTTTGTTTTCTAGTATATACCTCAGAAAGGGATCATGGGAAAAGTATTTCCTGAATTCCTAGATATTGATAACAGTTAGTACCCTTATGCTTATAAGTCAGTTTTGCTGGTTATAAAATCCTTAACTCAAACTTCCTTCCTTTGAGTGAACTCCATCTCTTTCTGGCACAAAGTGTTGTTACCAAATAGTCTGTTGAAAATCTCATTTTCTTTCGTTTAGAAGTCACAGATTCTTTTTTCTCCAAGTCTAATATTTTTTTTTTCCTTTAAATAAAAAAGTCCAATGATTTTATTAGATTATAAAACTTTGTATGGAATTTGACTTTGGTACTTTCCAATGGCTCTTATTTTTTTCTCCAGCCCTCCCCAAAGCTCCTGTCTCTTGCACATAGTGAGAGCTTAGTATTAGGTTGGAGCTGACATGAACTCACTGGGTTTAAACTGGCTCTTGAGAGCTGTTTCATAACAGCTGCATGAGGAGCGTGATTTAAGATTTTGAGAGTCCTGGTGACTACCACCTCATAATTTGTAGACGTGTATTAAAAGGATAGGAATTAGCACAGCAGTTGCCTTTTGAATCCAATTGCAAACCATATTTCTATTTTTTTTTTTAGTTTCTAAATTCTTAATATATTCATATCTAGATGGATGAATGGATGGAAGGATGGATGGGAGAAGGAAGCTCTTTGGCTCATTTTTATGTGAAACTAGTATTCCTTAAATTCAAAAAGAGGCTAAATCCAGGAAGGTTTTTCTAACTTCTCAGAATTCTCTGGCTTTGTGTAATGTTCAAATAAGTAGTACCTTGCTTTCTGAGATTTCCTGGCTCTGTTCCTCTCCCTGACTTTGGTCTAGACTTTATCCTCCCTTTCTCTCTTATCCCTGTCCTGCTCAATTTTGATTCTACCTGCAGTAATTTTTCTTTAGTGTGGGAACCTGTTCTGGAAGGGAGCCCTAATGGCCCAGGGTATTTTTAAAATCTTTTTTTTTTTTTTTTTTACATTAAAGCTGGGGACAGTGAAACAAGGAAGGGCCTGGGGTAGAAGAAGCAACAGGAGAGAGACTAGGTGGGGCTGCTTTGGCTCTCTAGAAACATTACAGAAAAAAAGTGAGCCAAGGCAGGGCTGCTGTCAGCTCACTGGAGAGTCAGAGAAAAGGGGGCCTTGGGACAGGTTCAGGGGGTTAGCCTGGGATGAGCTGCTGCTGCCCATTTGCTCCCCTGGTTGCAATGAGTTTAGGGGATGCATGCCCATGGGAGAAGACAGGGAAGGGAAAAATGGGGGTATGCTCCCCGGAGGGAGAGTGTGCCTAATGGTCCAGTTTTGAGATGTCATGGGGCTAGACTGCTCCAGCCCCTTCAGGTCTTCCTACCTAAGGTATGAAGACCCACTCCCAGGTTCAGCTCATGTTCTCAACTGGCCTTCAAATTTCAGGAAATAACTGTTTAGTTATTAGGAGGATTCTCCAGTTTTCAGGTCTGTCAGATGCCACCCCACTGCTTCCTTCTTCCTCCACAGATGTTTATACTATACAGATCCTATGGCTGTTGGTGGTTTGTCCCTTCCTCTTGTATTTTGGTGTTCTGTGAAGATACCTTGCAACTAGTTTTAGTGTAAATGTTGTCTATGGATTCTTGGTTTTGCTATCTAGTTGCTTGTTTTTATGTGGGGACTCAGCGGGATGGAAAACTATGCTGCCACTGTTCCTAACGTTTCTAATGAGGACTCAGTACTATGAAGTCAGACTGAACCCACTTGGTTTCTGAAGTTAGCATGTTAAACAAAAATTGGGTATAGTTTTAGATCACCCTAGAAAATGCCTTAGGATTTTCAATCACTTATCAGAAATTAACATACTACCTCTTAGTAAGTCCAACACAGCTGGAATTCTTGCAGAGACTAAACAGATTAGTTTATATTTTTGACTACCAGATAAAGAAGCTAACATGCATTCAAGGGTAGATAATATGAAAAACTTGTCATTCACAGTCAGCGTAATAAGATGGTCATATTATGAAAGATACCCAGGAACTGAGAGTGAGGCCACAACAATTTAAATTTCCCATCTCACAATCATTGTGTATTTTTTTTTGTTAATCCTCACCTAGGATATTTTTTCCATTGAGAGTAGAAGGGGGAGAGGGAGGTAGTAAGGGAGAGAGGGAGAGAGAGCAAGAGAGAAACATTATGTGAGAGAGAGACATCAATTGGTTGCCTCCTGCACGTGCCCCAACCAGGCCCAGGGATCAAACCTGCAACCTAAGTATGTGCCCTTGACTGGGAATCGAACCTGAAACCCTTTGGTGTGCAGGCCGACACTCTAACCACTAAGCCACACCAGCCAGGGCTCATTGTGTACTTTTAAAATTATTTCCCCCACCCCTTTACTTCATGTTGAATGAAAATATTTGAATTTATATGAGGTGAAAAGGAGAAAGCTGCAACTTTACTGTGTTAATAGAGCCAATCTCAGGCTGCCTGGGTTCAAATTCAAGCTCCTCCTCTTCTTAGCTGTATGTCCACAGGCAAGTTACTTAAGTTGTCCATGCTTCTGCTTCCTTATTTATAAATGATAATAATATATAACCTGGGCTACAGCACTGCACACCTGAAGGGGGAGCCATTCATATTGCAGATTATTTGAGTAATGCTTCAAGGCATATGTAAGCATATGACATAGCTCTGAATTCAAGGGTTGTTGTGAGGAATTACTGAGATAATACTCAAAGAGCATTTAGCAGTGCTGACAGCTGTCAACAAGTACCAATAGTAACTGAAACTACACTATTGGCTCGCCTGGATCGGTATGATATCTTGTGGAAGGGAAGGATGCAAACTCACTTATGATGTAGGGCTGGAGAGTTGATATACCTCTGAGATGGCACAGAGATGTACTGCTGGCCTTGCCAGCTGAAAACAAGCTGCTTCTAGTGGTCCTTATTGACAGGTATGAAGAAAAAAGTGTTTGCCAGATCAATGGCTACATACCAGGAACCAAGGGGTGTTAATCTGCTCAAGCAACAAAACCACATCTAATATAGCTGCAATTGGAGTCACTACCTGGTTAAGTTCACAATTATCCCGTCATTATCCAAGATCCACCTGCTTTCAGCACAGGCCAAAAATGCTGAATGGAGATGTGGTGGGAACAGCCACCCCTGTATCCTTCAAGTCCTTGATGGTGGCACTAATCTCAACAATTCCCCAGGAATGAGGTACTGCTTTTGCTTTATTATTTTCCTAGGTAGAGGCAATTCTAGTGGCTTGCACTTGCCTTTCCCACCATAACAGTCCTCACTCCACAGGTCAAGGAACCATTGTAGGGATTCTACCAGCTTCTGAGTGTATCTGCTCCAAATATGCACCCCAGAACTAGGGGAAATAACCTCAAGATGATTCTGGGATCCATTAGGCCCACTGTGAGACAGACCTGAGCTAAAACTGCATTGACACCTGACTTCCATAAGTCCCTCCCCTGACGAATGGACTACAATAACATCTTGAGTCTCCTGGAATAAGTGTCATTTCAGATCCAGTGCCCAGAAATCCGTTAAATATCTGATTATTTCCTTTTCTGCAAGGCACAGTTACCCTGGGAAAAAAAGCATAGGTCCCTTTGGGGAAGGCTGGGAGAAAGATTACAGTATAAATTTCTGGCAGTGTACCCGGTTCTTTAGTAGAACTTAGCCTCCTGTTCATTCAAGGGGTTTGAGTCTGTAAACTGGCTCAAGGAATTAATTGAGTGGCCATGACTTCTGTTTTTATGATTCAGGTTAGACTTTTGTTCATTTGACTTAGAAGTGCTCATACAGATCAAGTAAGAATTTAGTAGCCTTTCATTCTATTTTACTTCTAGGGATACCATGGTCAATCAGGTAGCCAACATAAGTCTGCACAAATCAGACTAGTCAGTTGTTGCTTTGACTTTGCTGTCCGCTATGGTAACCAAACCCATCTTGCCTTTGGCCACTGAGAGCCACCACTTAGCCCCTGACACCCCGAGATCCAATTACTCCAATTGCATTTAGTTTTCCCAATCCAGCTACCAGAGTTCCCATTGTAAGGCCTGTTCTGTCTACAAAGAAGAATGATCATAAAGCTCTTCAAGGATGCTGGAGCTCCCCTCACAAATTTATTTTTCACTGTTGTGGTGAAAAGTATGTCTTTTGGATATATAAAATTAACCACCAGATAACTTTAAGTGACCTCTCCATGAATTCAACTAGTGAGCAGACAATAACAAAACATAATTATAAACATTAATCCTTTGGGAGGGAAGAGATATCATAACACCTGTCATAGAATCCCTTTAACTTGGAAAATATTTCAATTCATTAGATATCACAAAGTAATACAGATCTATACTACATATCAAAAGCCATCACCCTCCACTGCTTGCACAACGACTATCTGGTAATCTAAAATTTAGCTTGGAATATTTATGTGTGGTTGAGTATTGTCCTTATTTGTATCTATAGTCACAAAACTACAGGACTTTACCCCGGCCGGTAGCTCAGTTGGTTAGAGCATCATCTCAATACGCCAAGGTTGTGGGTTCAATCCCTGGTCAGGCAAATACAAGAATCATAGATAAGTGGAATAACAAATCGATGTTTCGCTCTCTCTAAAAAACAAACAAACAAACAAACAAACAAAAACTACAAGACTTTAGGTCACCTGATATATGAAATTTTGTAAGGAAGTGTGTTTTTTTTCACTCAGCTTCTAGTGCTGTGTATATCTCTGTGGAATTCCTCTCTATGTCAATTAAACATTAAATTTATATATACACATATATAGGGTGTCCCAAAAAATTATAAACACACTTTGAATAATTATAAAGGCAGTGTTTATTAAAATACATTTCATTTTCAAAATTGAGCTATCAGCTGTTAAAGTGTGTATACATTTTTTGGGACCCCCTTTTGTGTCACTTAATATACATATTTTAAAGGTAGGTGCTTTTTTCTTTTTCTCTATTTTAGTGTTTTTCTATCCACATTGTTTTCTTCTCCTAATTACAATCAATCAACCAATTTTTAAGCATTATAATTTCAATAAATAGAGGTTTATTCCTAGTCTTTGATTTTAAAGGTATGAGAAAAATATTTAAAAGTTTTGTTTTTTGAAAAATATCTTACTTTAAATATCTTTATTTTATTTTGCCAATGAGTCAGTGTGCCTAAAAAAAAGGTTTCTCAACCATTGTTTAGGCTGCTCTACGTACCTGAAACAAAATCTCTTCCTGTTCTTAAGTTCATCTCCCTCTCATTCTTGAAAGCTGGATTCAGAATATACATCTCAGAGGTCACTAATGACATTTCCCATTCTTCTACCTTTTATAAGCTGCTGTTTATGATTCTATTCTCCATGAAACTCTCCTCTCCTGCTTCCATAATATTATCCTTTTTCTACTTATCGGACTCCTCCTTTTCTTTTGCCAACTCATCTATGTTTCTAAATGTGGCCATTCTCCAAGGTTTGGTGCCTTGGCCTCTCCCTCACCTGTTCTCTCAGTATCAGACATTACCTCTGTGCTAACAGCTATCAAATATCTTTCCTCAATTCTGTTCTCTCACCAAAGCTCTGGTTACACAACTTTACAATTTATTGGATATTTCTAAATGAATGCTCAGTATAATCACAAACTTCATAATTCAAAGCCCACTTACCATTATTCTTCCCAAATGTGCTGGCTCCGCCTTTCAACTTCTATCCCATTCAATGGTGTGAGTGAGTCGCAATCTTGCTAGCTTACAAGGGTTAGAATCCCGGTAGCTCACCTTTATGTCAGAATAGACTACTGGGAGGCAGTGTGGCTCTGGATCAGACTTAAATTTAATCCTGGGATTGTTACTTACTGTGTAATCTTGGATTAGTTACTTACTCTGTGAGTCTACATTCTCATCTGTGAGCGGGTTAATATCCATCTCACTGGACTGCAAGGATCAAACAACCTCCGCTGCACACAGGACACAGTGGGCAAGCAACAGCCCCTCTTGTATCTGGTCAGTACCAAATTTTGCCCCTTCTGCCTTTGAAGGTGTCTCATGCGTCTCCCTACTCCAAATTCTAACTCTCAGTCGTATCTGGATTACTCTAATAACCTCTCTGCAATCTGCATTAAATCAAATCTGTTCAATCCATTCTTTAGATTGTGTCAAAATAATCTCCTTAAAATGTGTATTTATCAAGTCATATTCTTATGAATAAAATCTTCAACAGCTTTCTATTCCCTAACAATCAAGGCCTGTTCAGTTTTCAAGGATGTTCAAACTCTACCCACTCAAATCTACTTCCTGTTACTTCCACCACGAATGTGCCCTGGGTAAATCGGCTTCCTCACTGTCCTACACACACACCAAAATCTTGCCCATCACCATGCTGCTGCTCAGGTTGTTCCTTCCCTCTGCTCTCACTGGCTGTATTTAAAATCTGTACCAAGCACACTTACTTATGCTGTATACTGGTTTTCATTTCCCTAGGTTGTTCAATTTACATTAATTCTCTTTCTTCACTTTGATAGTTTGTGGCCTATTATTCATGACCCTCTGTCTACTACAGTGTATCACTGTGTAACCAAGCAGACAACTACTTCCAGGTGGATTAAAAGAATGGGGAAAAAATTACCATCACATGTTCTTACTTAACATACTTAACATACTTGCAAGTTTAAAGGCTTGCATTGCTGGCTATTGTTTATGTTGTTTAAGTTCTTATCAGATCAATTAGATGGAAAATAAAGACTAATGATTAACTTTTTCTGCATTCCCATAAAAATCTAACATATCATTAGCTACTTAGTTGAACTGGTAAACCTTCTGATTATATGTCACATAAATGATAAAGTTCTTTAGAGTTAAAACTTTAATATAGCTTTGCTTTGAACAAAAAAGCAATGCTTTTCTGGGCAAGGTATATACCTATCTTCCATAGAGAAATTTTCTCCTCTTCAGCTATTCCTTCCTAGGTGGCTATCTCCCTGCCTCTCACTCTCTTCTCCCAGTTAAAAACTCTACTATAGTAAGCCACTGGGACTGATGAGCCTATGTCACAGTATTTAGTACATACAGAGCAAGTATTTTAAAAAATAGGACAACATAGATCTAATGAAGCTCAGCATTATCTATGGACAGAATCCTCAACTGCACCTACCATAATCAGCAGGTGTGTAATTCAGAAGTTCAAATTTCCAGTGTTTATAGCCTGAATAACTCTGGTACATGTCAAATATTTCCCGGGTAAATTGTTGGCAGATATCACCTAAATGAAAACACAAAAAATATTCAGTCAGCATGAATTTCTAAGAGAACCATTCTTAATTATAGGCCTGTTAAGAAACGAGTAACTACTTCAAAAGTGAAACTTTTAAAATTATAGTGTGTCAAATCAAAGTAAAATTTAGGTATTTCTTAGATTATTTACAATAAAATTATTTTACAGACCTCCAGTGGTTCTTCCAGATGTCACCTCTAAAATAACATCATTTTTGTCATATTTCTCCTTTGGCACTAAACTCTGGAAAAGCTAAAAAAGAGAAAAATTATAAGCATCAGTGTGTATATGGTATATATGTATGTATATATAAATATATTTACTATTATTACTTAAACTTAAAGACCCCCAAACATTAAAAAAAAAAGTAATTAACAAAATCATACAGCATCCCAATGAGGTCTACTCCTAAAATGCTTTAATAAGTAGACCTAATTAGACCTAAAGTGATCATCTCATGTTAACAATGAAGTTACTTGTCAGGATGTTCTCTACAATACTATCAGATTATCTCAATTTTCTAAAATGCAGAAGTTTAGATCAAAGTCCAGTGTTCCATTCAATATTCTTCAGATCTTGCCTCTTATTAGTTCTGAACAGTAGCTTCTTTCATCTAATGAATAAAGTAAAGCTTTGAAAGTCTTCATTTCACACATGATTGCATATTCTCTCCTGACATAAATGACAGCGAGCACCAGACTGTGCCCTGCCTTTTCAGTTGAATTGCTTTGTTTAAAGAGCATGTTGAGGACTCCCAAGATAAGGCTCAAATAGTTTCTTAGCTGTGACAAGAAAAAAAGGAGCATACTAACAAAGAAAGTAACCAACCTTCCTTTTAAGAAGAAAAGGGAAGCCATTATTATTATTATTTTTTTAATTACTAAAAGGTCTTTCAAATCAAACTAAAAGTACCTACATGTCACAATACTCCCCACTGTCAATTTTTGAAATACTCTATCTCTGTTAAAAATAATCTAGTCTATGGGAGAGAATATTAGAATCAGACATCTTACTTTGATTAGCTGGTTAAATCAGTGACAAAAACCAATACCTCCACCTCATCCCCTTCAACCCCTCACAAAGCTCCTCTCCACTGGATTCCCAGAGTAGGGAAGACTGAAGGCAGGAGATGGCAAATATGACAGAGGAGAACATGGTATAGAGTTCTGTGATTTTAGACAAATTGTCCATTGAGCTGGAAGAAGCTAAAGACTTGTGTTAAGCAACTGTCTCTATAGCATTGGATTCATTCCATTCTATTCAAAATGCAAATTTTCAATCCTTAACACATCATCATGAACCATTCCCCCTTTCTAAGACTTAAAAACCCTTGGTGCCTGGCAGGGCATGGCTCAGTGGTTAAGCATTGACCTAGGATACAGGCGATCAGGGTTCGATTCCCGGTCAGGGCACATGCCCGGGTTACGGGCTCAATCAATAACTCTCTCATCATTGATGTTTCTATCTCTCTCTCTCCCTCTCCTTTCCTCTCTGAAATCAATAAAGATATATTTTTAAAAAAAATAAAAAAATAAAAACCCTTGGTGCTTCCCCTAATTTCCTTATCAGCATGTGTTCCATTGCCTGGCAAGTTAATAGATTCAACTTTAGAATATTGCTGTTTGGTGGGGGAGGTTATTCTTTGATATCTATCACAATCTCTTCAATCTCATTCTGTAGCAAATTACAGCACTAAACCCAGCCTAATCACTTATTATAAAAGAAGATTTAATAACTGGTATTTGGAAAGCACTTTGAGCACCAGTGCATAACCTAGCAAGAACAGTATTCTTTATATTAACACTACTGAGATTAGTTTACCTCCTAAAACTTACCTCACTGTATAACATGTTGACTTTTTGAGCAATGGTTTGCCTCTCTTCCATCACAAGTTCTTGTAACTGCTTTTCATCTTGATTATTTAGACCTACAACAGTAACAATGGTAAAGTTTTTAAATACTTAACAGGGAGGCTCTTAAATAACTACCTAATCTCTGCCTATTAAGTTTTATTTCAGTTATGAAGGCAAGGGCTTATACAAAAGAACAGTTAGAATAGTTAGAGAATATCAATAAACAAATATTTGTAAAGTATTTCCAAAAATTTCAGTGTGAAAAGCACAATCTCGCCCCAAGAGCTTGTGATTTGAATGTCTGTAAGTAATTATACAAATCAGTAATTAATCAAACAGGTTTAAAAGGGAATGGCAGGAAGAGGAAACAAGATGGCAGCGTAGGTAACATGCAACCGCCGCCTCCCGCAACCACATCAAAGTTACAAGGAAAATACAGAACCACCATCACTCAGAGGCTCCTGAAATCTGGCTGAACAGAAGCCCTACAACCAGGGAACTGAAGCAGCACCAAGAACTGTAGGAGGGGCAGAGACACGGGCAGATGGGACTGGATTGTGGAGATGCACTGTGGGCCCACACCCAGGGCCATGGGTTAAACCCAGGAGGGAATCTCGGCAGTGGGGGTTTCTCAGAGGAGGGAGCGGTCCCAGGCTCACAGAAGGCCCCCAGCCCAGGGCTCCAGGGCTGGGAAGAGACGTCCCCACAACTCCGGGCTGTGAAACCAGTGGGGATGGTCGCTGAGGGTTGCAGAGGCTGCGGGAGCCCCAGCAGCTCCTCTTAAAGGGCCCATGCACAGACTCACTCGGACGCCCTCCCTCTGAGCCTCAGTACTGGGCAGCAGCTTGAAAGGAACCTGGGACACTTGGGGAGAAACTAACCTGTCTGAAGTTGGGGCGAGAGCTGGAGGGGCAGCTTCCTCCCAGGCAGAGGAGCTGGCAGATGCCATTGCTCCTTTGGCGATCCCTCCCCGCACAGAGCCGGCAGGCAGGGGCCATATTTGAATCGCCAGCATCTGACTCACACTTTGGCCCTGCCCCAGTGATTCCTGGAGGCCCCGCCCCTCCCCACCTGCAGGCTCATCCAGGACATTTCCAGTGGCTTTTCTATGCAAGTGGCCTCTTGAGCCTCATGCTTAAGACTTTCCTAAAATCTCTCAAACAAGCAGCAGCGGGCCCCATACACCTTGATAAGTGGTCCCAGGCCTGGCACTAGTGGCAGCCTGCATTGGCTCATAGCTGGGCCTCTCCTGGACACCTCCAAGCCCAGCACAAGTAGCAGCCAACTACAGTTGGCTGTGTAGCTCATGCTGGGTGGCCCTGGGAAAGGCACTGGCAGAGGCTGACTTTGCACCTCCCAGGAGGCCCCAGAGACAGTGCACCTGGTGGTCAGACTCGACCATGCTGGATTACAACCCTACCACATCCACAAGTGACACACTCAAGGGGCACACTCGGTGAACACCAAAGCTCCACTGAAGTAAATCCTGTCCCATAGGGGTGTATCCAGCACAGCAGCTCTTCAGCTGTAGTTGCAGCTGGTCCTAACAACTGATTGGCCTGGGGGTCAATTCCTCCCAGGGACACCAACAGCGACTAAGGCTCAACTACAATAGGACAGTGAACACAGCCCACACAGGGGAACACCCAGAAGGCACAGCTCAGGTGACTGGGGAGGCTGAGCCACTGGACCCTACAGGACACCTACTATATAAAGCCACTCTACCAATTCCAGGAGACATAGCAGCTCTACCTAATACATAAAAACAAACACCAGGAAACAGCCAAAATGTAGAGGCAAAGAAACATGTCACAAAAGAAAGAACAGAAGAAATCTCTAGAAAAGGAACTAAATGAAATAGATCCAAGCAAGCTAACAGATAGAGTTCAGAATAATGGTTATAAGGATGCTCAAGGATATTAGTAAGAGTATGACAAAAATAACTGAGAAAATCAATGACATAATAAAGTACCAATTTGAAATGAAGGCTACAGGAAGTGAAATGAAGAATAATTTACAGGGAATCAACAGTAGAGGACGCTGAGAATCAAATCAGCAATTTGGAAAATGAAGAAACAAAAACATCCAACCAGAAGAGCAAAAAGAAAAAAGAATCCAGAAATATGAAGATAACATAAGGAGTCTCTGGGACAACTTCAAGAGGCCCAACATTCATATTATTGGGATGCCAGAAGGAGAAGAAAGAGAGCAAGAAATTGAAAAACCTATTTGAAAAAATGACAGAAAACTTCCCCTACCTGGGGGAAAAAGTAGACTTCCAAGTCCAGGAAGCACAGAGGGTCCCAAACAAGAGGAACCCAAAGAGGCCCACAGCAAGACACATCATAATTAAAATGCCAAAGGTTAAAGACAAAGAGAGAATCTTAAAAGCAGCAAGAGAAAAGCAATTAGTTACCTACAAGGGAGCACCCATATGACTGACTGCTGATTTCTCAACAGAAACTTTGCAGACCAGAAGAGAGTGGTAAGAAATATTCAAAGTGATGAAAAGCATGGAACTACAACCAAGATTGCTCTACCCAGCAAAGCTATCATTTAGAA